TCTGCATGGCTAAAGAAAACATCAGCAAAATGAAGAGAGAACCAACTGTGTGGGAAAATATATTTGCCAATGATACGTCAAGCAGGGGTTTGATCTCCAAAATATATAAAGAACTCACACAACTCCATGCCAGGAAGACAAATAATCCAATTAAAAAATGGGCAAAGGACCAGAGCAGACACTTCTCCAAGGAGGACATACACAGGGCCCAGAGATATATGAAAGGATGCTTATCATCACTAGCCATCAGAGAAATGCAAATTAAAACCACAATGAGATACCACTTCACACAGGTCAGAATGGCCATCATAAATAAATCAATAAACAACAGGTGCTGGCAAGGTTGTGGAGAAAAGGGAACCCTAGTTCACTGTTGGTGGGAATGCAGACTGGTGTAGCCACTGTGGAAAACAGTCTGGAATTTCCTCAAAAAGCTAAAAATGGAACTGCCTTTTGACCCAGCGATTCCACTGCTGGGATTATACCCTAAGAATCCCAAAACACCAATTCAAAAGAACCTATGCACCCCAATGTTCACAGCAGCACAATTTAGAATAGCCAAGCGCTAGAAGCAATCGAAGTGCCTGTCAGTACATGAGTGGTTCAAAAAACTATGGTACATTTATACAATGGAATACTACGCAGCAGAGAAAGAAAGCTACTATCCTTTGCTACAGCATGGATGGAACTGGAGAGCATTATGCTTTGTGAATTAAGCCAGGTAATGAAAGACAAATATCATATGATCTCACCTGTAAGTGGAACCTAATCAGCAAAGCAAGCAGGGAAGGAAAATATGACCAGCAACATTGAAAGAAAGAGGAAGCAGATGGGGATGGGAAGGAGGAAGAGAGGGGGTAGCGGCCAGGGGAAGGGGAAGGGTCAGATCAAGGAACAGGTGTGAAGGACACAGGGATGAAGACAAGGTGGGAAGGACTGAGAGGGGGAGGTGGCAGTGGGGGGGCAGGGGAAAGTGGTGACAAATGTATTTGAAAAATTAAAAAAAAAAAAAAAGAAACACAAACTTGGGCAAACTAAATCAGCCTAACAGCCAGAACTGTCCTTTCTGAATCTACCAGACAAGTTACAAACTTAAAAATTGGAACTAGCTCCTCTTGATTTATTATCTAGAAAGATTTCAATTACTTTATACATGAAACTTCCTGAGGGCAGGCACTTTGTTTTTATATTCTTATTTCCCAGTTTCTAGAACAGTGTCAGGCACATGGCAGCTGCTTTTAACAAATGTTTATTGGGTGAAGAAATGACTGAATGAATTATGAGTGTATGAAGACTACTTCTCTTGAAATTCTCTGGAGATTCCTTGACTTGTTGAATATACCCCTTTCTAGTTCAAGAAATAATGGAGCACTTGTTTAGAATGTAAGATAATGTGTGTGTTCTGAAAGATCACTTGAATATTTTCCAACTACTAATTTTACAGAGTTTTAAGAAGTGGATAATCATGAGGCATACCTTTCTAAAGCATATTTTAGTTCTATATGTTTTATCTCAGACTGCGAGCACATTGAGCACAAAGATTATTCTTTGAATCCCTCCATAAGATTGACCACATTACATGACAGTAGACAATAAATATTACAGAATGAATGAATGAATGCTGTCTGATAATTTTGATTTAGACAATTTCTCTCTAGTTTCTTGTTCTCAGAGCATGTCTTCCTCTTTCAGCTATACCTATTACTGTAATTGTTCTCATGGCAGCATCATAGAAATTCCTGATTCTCCCTGCACAGAGGCCACCACAGTAGATGAGGATGGTGTAGTCCAATTGTTTATTGCTCCTCTCGCAAACAATGTTTACTCTCCCATGAAGACCTAATTAGTCTGTTATGTCTCCATATTTTCAGGCTTCTTATCTCTTAAATTGCCTATGTCTTGAAATTCTCCCCATAGCCATCATTGGAAACTAACTGAAGTAACTGAAAATTATGCCAGAGAGGAAACACATTGGCATGGTAAATCCCCTGCCTTTGGACATGTAGCAAAATAGCTCTTAAGACATAGAAACAAAATTTTTTCTGCTTTGTGAATCAGTGAAAATCTAATAAAAGTATGTCTCCCTTGGGTACTTTACATCATTAGCATCCTGGCTTCATGCTTCACTTTAACAAATAACTTACTTTAAAAGTTTCTCCAGGGAGAAGACAAGGAGCTGAAAATATCTTGGAGGAAAACTTTACCTAGCAACCTGATAAGGCTGTTTCATATACTTTCTAAAATCCATGCAGCCAAGTCTTTGTGATTTTTTCAGTTTCTGATTTTGGTATGTACTGAAACTTTTTCATGGCTAAGCACGGAGGAAAAAAAAAGTAATGCCTTAAATGTGAATAGCACTTTATGATTTTCATAGTACATTCATTATAAATGCTACCACCATAATTGATCACCTTCTACATTCCAGGACCTGTGCTAACCATTTTACATATGTATATAGAACTTAATCTTTGTCAAAATCCTGTGAAGTAAGAGATGTCATAGGCCCTGTTTAACTAATGAAGAAACTGCAGTTTAGATAAGTTATTTGCTCAAGTCATATAGTTAGTAAATGGCTAAACCTGGATTTGTCTAGCTTAAAACCTGCAGACTTATTTCACTTGGTGAGAATCTTAAATATTTAAGTGAACTAGTAACCCTTTCCCTTTATATGTACAAGTTTCCTGATGTTTAATTTTATATCTCTTTTTCTTTCCTTCTTCCCCTTCTCAAAAAAAGCGATCTTCCCCACATATCCCTCATTCCATCTGTGGTTAGCTGAATGCTGTGCAAAATCCCAGGTACAAAGAACAGACTGTATTGAGAGAAATCTGCATATAAGTTGACCCAGACAATTCATACCATTGTCGTTGAAGGGTCAACTGTATTATCCTTTGCCTTAAAGACAAACAAACAAACAAACAAAAAAACCCCAACCAACCAAGAAACAACAACAATCAATCACCCCTGACCCTGTATTCCTCTCTTGCTTAATTTTACAGCAGCAGTATTTACCATCTTGAATCATTCTCCTTTTTGAGGTTCAGTGCCATCACTCTTTCCTTATTTTCTTAATTCTCTAGCCACTAATTTCTTCTCTTTCACTAGATACTTCTTCCATCTCTAAATATAAAATTTCTTCAGGCCTTTATGTGAAACTCCTTTCCTTTTCTTTCTATATTCTCTTCTTAAATTACCTCATCTAGTCTTGTGATTTAAAATATTCCCAAACTTACATCTTCACCCCAGGTCTTGCCTCTGAATCCTATTATGTATTATATCCAATTTTCTCCTTGACAACTCCCCTGGAATGTCTTACAAGTCTGTCAGACTTAACACTTGCCAAAGGAAATACTAGTTTCCTTGCTCCTTCCCACCTTTCTCATCTAAGGACATGGTATCATCATCACATAGTTGCTTAGGTCAGACACCAGAAAATTACCTTTGATTTCTTCCTTTCCCTTATTATTGCACTTAATTCATCATCATCAAGTCCTGTCTATCATATATCCAAAATATGTATCAAATGAGCTTACCTGGTCTACTGATTACTCAGTCTCCAAACCATCTCTCACTGGATGCTTTAGTCACCAGCTATTCCTACTTCTTTTGTGCCCCTCTCCAATTTATGATATAGCATCCAGACCATATTACAAAATGTAAATTGGATCACAATGCTCTCTTGCTTAAGATTTTAGTGACTTCCATTGTGCTTCACATAGAGGGCCTAGCCTCAAAGGCCCTATATGATCTGGCCCATACCTACTTCTCCAACTTCATCGTAAACACTGTGTACGAGGTGCTCTTCTTTGCTTCATTACACAGATCTGAGTTTTCTACCTTCAAGCTTCTGGACACGCTATGCACTCTGCTTAGAAGCCTTTCCCACTCCAACTTGGCTGCTCCCAACTTATCCTTCCTGTCAAGGTTACCGCTGACCTCCCCACTGCTTGAAGTCAGTGACCATTTCTACAACACATCTTCATATTCCCAGAGCCTAGCATAGTTACTGGCTTGTACTGTAGTTGGTGTTGAATAAATACTTGAAAATGAATGAAGGTACAAGTTGAGACCTCTTGGGAAAGGTTGCTGTAATAGTAACTCACAACCCTTGATCAGTGTAGTGGACAGAAACTAAAAGAAACATCAAGAGGCAGGGTTAGACTTAGTACTGGCAATAACTATTTGTTGTCAAAATTCTCCAGACCTTAATTTCCTCATCTGCCCTATCTATATCACCAAATTTTGATAACTCTCTTAAGATCGAATTTTGTGTTGCTGATGTTGAATTCTTTAGCTCTCTACCCCGAAATTCCTTCTTGTGGGTTGCAAAACTCATTAAATGAAATTTAATTTTTAAAAACTTATTATGAAAAATTTCAGACCTAATGTAAGTAGAAAGTATAAATACACATATACATATCATTGACTTAAGCAATAACTACCCATAGCTAATCTTGATTTATTCCTATCCCCACCTATTTCCACCTCCCATTATTTTCAAGCAAATCCTGGACATGGTCTCATTTTATCTGTAAATACTTCAGTATGTGTTAATTGCTAGACAGAACACCTTCTGTTTCTTAAAATGAAGTGTTCATTTAACAGCACCGTGCTCTTCCCAGACTCTAGATACCCAGCATGATGATTTTTATTTCCTGGCTTAACCAAACTGTGTAAATTCTTTGAAGGAATGGGTGAGGGAAGGTGGCTATTAGAGCACACTGCTCAGTGCCCTGTAATTAACAGAGGGGATGAATAAAAAACTAAACGCGCTTTAGGTTCTTAATGCAATCATCCTAAGAATCCAGGGCCTTGTCTTACCTCTTAGCTTCGGTTTACTTCATGAACTCATAGTAAAATTACAAGTTCAAAGCATTTTTTTAAAAAAATGCATTTATTTCAGCCTGAGAAGACTTTTACAAGGATCAACAGGGGGCGGTGCTTCCGCAAGCCCTGGGCCCTTTCTTCCTCTCCTCGGCGCCGCACTCTTCTTCCCGGCAGCCCTAGCGCCCGTCCTGGCGGTCCGCAAGATGGCCGGCGACAGTGAGGTGAGGTGTTTGCTTCCTCCTATGCCTGTGTGTAAGTTTTCTCCTCCAACTCAGCGCTTCGGCGCTCAACCTCTTTCTTTTTTCTTTCCCATCCCGCAGCCCGAGTCCGAGGTATTTGAGCTCACGGACTTCACCACTGCTTCCGAATGGGAAAGGTGAGTGAGTCGTCTCATGGATTATCAGTCAGTACCTTGGGCCTTGGGCCGCTTCCCCAGCATAGGCAAACCACACAGACCACTGCGGTGGGGAAGGTAAGACCCAGAGGTCCCCGGGTCTCCGCCACCTTCCATTTCTGGTCAGCTGAAGGCCTCTTCTGCGTCTGGTGTCTGTCAAGCCCCGGCCTGCCGCCGGCAGCTAAACCCTCGAGACTCCTGCTCTCAAAGTTTCGTTTACTTTCACACCACTTTCCTTAGAGCTTCGATGTTGCCCCCACGCGCAAACAGTTTCTGTGGCTACCACTTCCGTACTGTTTTCATTTATGTTTAACTCGTTATCGTGAGCAATAAACTTCGCCGCAGCTTTTTTTCCCCCCCTCCTGTATAACATTGGGGTACCCTTTTAGGTGGAAACCTTCAGCGTACTTATGGTGGTGGTCCATCTGCCACACCCCCCCATTTCCATCCCGTCTTTTAGAACAACCTTTTAAAGTCTGCGTGGGACTTGGGAACGCTTTGATTCAAGTTTCACATTTCAGTGGGTAGTGCGCCCAGGCTTCCTCTACCTCTCCAACTAACTCCGTGGAACCACTGAAACTGTTGTGTCACTGAATGTAAGTGAAAGCCAAGTTTGTTTGTGGAGGAGTGATAGCTTAGATCGTGAAGTTTTGTGTTCAGTGTCACAGAAACCCTCTTGCTGTGTGGTTTTTGACTTTTAGTTAGCTTGCTGCAGTATTTTATAATCTTTCTGGTTGGGGGAGGAAATTTGTGGATGGTATGTCATTAGCTGACATAGGAAAATATAAAAGGTTCCTACTGGAATAATGGTTTGACCTCCGGTACATTCCAAAAAAAGAAAAGTCGGTAAGATAAAACGATACTGGCATGGCAGTGCTTTATTGAGCAGGTACTGTGTGTCCAGAATTATGCTGATGGAAGAGAACAAAAACAAAACATAAAATAGTTAAATTGTAAGCCAGCTGGTACTAACTATAAAAATAGTAGTTTAAATAAGGGTAATGTTGTGGATTAGGATTGTTGGAGATATTTTCATAGAAAAGAGAGAAAATGAGTTGGGCCTTGGAAGTAGTAAGTGCTTGCTAAGATATAAGAAGGTACTGAGGTAATTAGAGACAGGTTAAAACGAATCTTTGGGACTTAATGAAGAAGTATGTTACTGGAGTGAAGGTTATCTACTCAAGGGAAGTAACAAAGATTGATAAAGAAGATAGGACCAAGTTATGGACAGCCTCCAAAGCTATGTAAAGGAATCTCTAGATTTGGTTCTGTAATACCAGGGATTCTCAAACTTTAGTGTGCACCCGAAGCTTAGTTTCTGATTATGTCTGAGATGGACATCAGAATTTGCTTTTCTAACAAGTTCCCTCCCAGGTGATGTTGATATTGCTGGTGGGTCAGGAGAACACACTTAGAAAAAAGCCATTAAAGAACAATAGTGAGAGACACTTGATTTTAGAGTGGCAAAGTGATGTGAGAGTTGTTTCAGAAGATGAAATAAAACTAAGGCAAGTGATTCACTTTGATCCATAGTTAGGTTGGTGATTTGGAGACTGGAGAGAAAGGATAGAAGGGAGGATTGTAAGATATTTCAGATAAGATTTAGATAGATATATTTGATGAAATGTAAGAGTAGAAAGAAGCAAACATGGAACTGCAGTTTCTTTCCTGAAAGAATGAAGGTAAGAAGGTGGCAAAGTGAGAAGAGTGCAGTTACAGACCTGATGAATGTGAAATAATAATTTGATGTCTCCAAGGTAGTTAGAAAAATGTAACTTGAATCTTGGAGGATGGGAGTGGGAGTGAGGAAACATCAGAGCATGGAACGGAAAATAGTCACTTTCCCCAGCTAAATATTTGAAATATTCTGAAGTAGAATATTAAAATCCTTTAGCTCCCTGTATAGAAACAATTGTTAATATAGTTGTGAGAACTACCGCAAAGCAGGAAATTTGGTTATTGGCTTTTATGCCCTTGTCTGTAGAGTGAAACTAGTGTTTTGATTCATGGGAAGATGTTAAGACTTTGGAGTCTCTTAAACTTGGAGTTCAATGTTCGAATGAAAAGTTCTGGTCAGTATGTTATGAGCCATACAGTTTAGTGAGAGGACTGACTAGAAGCCCATACTCTTTATCATTTGTCCATTGAAGAAATATTTATTGAGTGCCCATATTTCAAGAACAATTCAGGACATTAGGGATGTGGTAGTCAATAAAAACAGATGATTCTGGCTCTTACTGAATGTACAGTATAGTGGAAGAGATAGACATGAATCAAATAATAATAGAAATGCGTCTGTAATTACAAGAAGAGCTGAGAAGGGGAATAAACCTGTTCTTATAGGAGCATACAGCCATTAGACCTAATATAGAATGAGGTGTCAGAGGAAATGAGCCTTCATCTGAGATCTGGGGAGCTTTGAGGGATAGTTATTGAATTTTTCTAGTCAAATCTCAATACTTCAGGATAGAGTCCAGTAGTAGAATTAAAATGAAAGAAAAATCACCTGTAATTCTACCGCCATTAGAGAGCTACTATTAATATTTTGAGAAAATTTCTCCCAATCTACATGCGTTGTAAATTTTTTGTATCAAACCATATTGCTACTACTATAATTTAACATATGAACATTTATTTCCTCAAATGGTCTTTAAAATATGACTACTAATAGGTATATATTATTCCATTGAATGGCTATACCAACTGTTTGCTGCAATTGGACATTAAGATGGTTTCTTTTTTTTTTTTTACCTTTATAAATAAGTGCGTTGCGCATTTCACATGCCGGTTTTTGCTCGCATATGGATACTTTTATTATTAAAGTTTTATTCCTTTTTAAAAACATGTTAACTTAGTTCTACAGCACCCATTTCCAAAACTGATAATGGCCAAACTGATAATGGCCTTTTCACTGAATACCCCCCTGCAAAGTGAATTAGTGTATTAATGCCTTCAGTTTTAAAGAGGAATTACTTAGAAGTTTCAGTTGATTCATAAAAAGTGATTTATCATTACCATCTTAACAGAAATGTAACTATTAATATGTAACATTACTGAAGAAAAAACCTGATGCCTTATATTTTGACTAGAAGTAACATACTAGCATTACTATGTAGATGTTTTAGGAGAGCAGTGTTGTTATATTGCATCATACTTTTACATGAAAGAAGTCAGCTTCTTAGAGTAATTACAAGCCTTCTGAAAGTGTCTTTTAATATGTATTTAACATTACTGATATATTATAACAGGTTTAATTTGCTGATATTGAGCATATTGTTTGTTAAATTTTTTTTAACAGGTCTGCTTGATCATTAGATTTAAAGATTAACGAATAATTATAAAATCTATTAGTTTTTCCTTAAAGCTGACAAATGTACTTGAGTGTTCTTGCCAGCTGTTCCCAGTGCTCTCAAATAATGTTTTCTTTGGGATAAATAGGAGGGAATTCCTTAATCTTTAAAGGAAAAGTTAAATAAATAGATCATTTGTTTTGAGGATAAGAAAGAGATTATGAGTTACATGATTATCTTTAATAGTATCATGTTAGTCTGTCAGTTTTTACTTCCCTATCAAATTTATTCATTTTATTTAGACAGTTTCATTAATTCTTAATTTATATTTTATAGTAGGCAGAATGCCCTTGTTGGGTAAGCAGTAGATTTAAAAATCAAAATCTAAGAATTCTTGGGTTACAGAAAATTATTACCACTTTTATTCCATATTGATAAATTAGACTAACAATACTGAACTTATGGAGACTTCTCTGATAAAAAAATGTTAAATATAAAAACACTTTCTAAAAGAATTGTAAAACAGTAGTAAAAAATATGCAGTTACATATTTAGAAAGTTTTTTTGCTCCATCCTAGGTTTATTTCCAGAGTTGAAGAAGTCTTAAATGATTGGAAACTCATTGGAAACTCATTGGGAAAGCCACTTGAAAAGGTCAGATCTATTTGCTGGTGTCTCTAAATCAGTATTTACTTTGAAACATGTATTTTTAGGCTTTTTGCTGCATTTGGTACATTTGAGTTACTTGTTTTTTAAGTTATGTATCATCTATGAACATAAAATGCTATTTGGAAGAATTTGGATTTGAATCTGTGGCAAATAATATGTGTAAGGCTTTTGTGAACTGTTTTTTAAATAAAATTTTATATGTATAATGTCATTCTTTGTGAGTGATTTTGTTTTTCCTAACATTTACTTCTCTCTTTCCTCCTCCCTTAGAATTTTAGAAAACCTTTTCAAAAATTTTTAGTTGGTCAGAGAAACATTGCAATTACCAACTTCTTGGTAGAATATTTTGCTTAACTAATGAAAAATTTTGGTCTTAACAATCAACTGACTGTCATTAGCAGCTATTTTATTCAATTTTTGTATTTTACAATACCACTAATAATAGTTCTCCTCATCTTCATCCCACCCCAGCCTTTTTAACCTCATAGATGTTTTGAGTATAATAATGAAAAAATATTCAAAATTGAGGTGGGACTTTAATTCTATAATCTAAGGTACTGTCAGTTTTACTCATAAACTATGCCCAAATGTTTACTAAAGCATGTACTCTGAAAATAAATCTAGATTTTTCTGTATTTTGGTGAAGGGAACTAACAGTTTGATTTAGGCTTATGTAGATACTTCGTTTGTTAGATAAATTCTTTTGAAGTAGAATTGATTATGTTTGTTATAAATCTGTTTTAACTGCAGTTTACCCCTTTGTAAGGAACTCTTAGTTCTCAATATTAGCTAGGTTTTTTCACCTTAATGGTGATATTAACAGAATTTGAGACTATCAAAGCATTAGGATATATTTCTTTAGCTACATGAATAAGAGTAGAAAAAGTAACACTTTACATAGAAATCATATTTAAAGATCTGAAATATATAGAGTAAATTGGTTTGCTATATTAAAATATTACATTTTGAAATAAAATGTGAAGCCCTCAATCACAGATCATTTATTCCACTTGAAACAAATATAAAACAACAATTGACATAGATGTCAATAAGACTGAAGGCAAAACAAGCTGGTTATAACTGGAATGGGAAATGATTTGCATCACCAAAAAGAGAGCTAAATTGGATATTTGTAAGTTCTGATACTCCTCAATTCTGTGATTTATACATACTTACTAAGTACCGGCTGTGTGCCAGATCTGAAGACAAAGTGAGCAAGATCCATGTGGCCATGGAACATAAATTCTCCTAAGAGAAGTAATAAGTAAAAAAATAAGATTAAAATTTTAGAGCTAAATTCAGTTTTGGAATATAAGTTGGGTAATGTGTTCAAAGTAGGTAGCATTGCTGACACAGGTAGTAGGGGCTTACAGAATTGTAAATTATAGATCACAGTAAATAAAAGGAGATGGAAAACATGAAGAGATTTCAAGATGAACTGTAACTATGATGAATAAGATTCAAGAACGTATAAAGGACAGGGATTATTCAGCATAGAAAAGGAAGTTAGAGAATGCTTTTATAGGATATTTTAATTTTATGTGAAGGACAGTGATTACCAATACTCTTCATTGAGGGAAAATTAAGAAAAATTATTTTTAAAAAACCTTTAATGAAAAATTGTAAACAAAATAATTTAATGAACCTGCATGTGCCTGTCACCCAGTTTCAATAATTAATATTCTACCATTTCTTGTTTCAGTGGTACCTCTATCACCTCCCCATCCCCACTAGATTTATTTAATGATTGGTTTTTTGGGGGGTAAAATTCACATACATTGTAATGCACAAAACTGCTTACTTTTGACAAATATTTACATCAGTTTAATGCTCCTCAGTCAAGGTACTGGGCATTTTGTTCACCCCAGAAATGTCTCAGTGACCCTTTTCAGTTAATTCCCATGCTCCTCACCCATGGCCCCCAGGCATTTACTGTTCTCCCCAACTTTTAAATCATAGATTGCTTTTGCCTGCTCTAGAATTTCATACATATGACATCATATAGCATATACTTTTTGTGCCTGTTTTTATAAACATAATAAATAGTTTTGACATTTATTCCAGGTTATTGCATGTAACTGTTTTGAATGAATATACCACAAATTGTTGCACTTGTTGACAGACATGGGCTATGATGAGTAAAGCAGAACATTCTTGTATGAGGCCTTTTGTAGACATACATTTTAATTTCTCTTGGGTAAATACTTAGGAGTGGATATATAGGGTCATAAGATAGTGTATACTTAACTGTAAGAAACTTCAGAAGCATTTTGTACCATTTTACCCACCCTCTCCTCCCATTCCCACAATTAAGTATACGAGAGTTTGGGTGGTTCCATAATTCTCATCAACAGTTGGTACTCAGTCTTATAAATTTCTGGTGTTGGAATTTATTAACCACTTTTAGTATTGACCATTTTTTTCATGGGCTTATTAGCTATTTGTATGTCTTCGTGAAATATTTATTCATTTTTTTTGTTCATGTTTTTTGTCCATGTTTTAAGCTGAGCTGAGTTGTGGGAGTCTCTTAATTCTATATATTCTGCTTTTAAGTCTTAACCCAGTAGTTTTGCTGGGTTTTGAAGACATTCTTTCCATGCTTTCTTCTAGAAGCTTTATCAGTTTAGCTTTTATTTAGGTCTGTGATCCATCTTGAACTAATATTTTATATGATGTGTGGTAGGGAGCCAAGGTTCAATTTTTTAATTATATTTTATTGGTTATGCTAATAAAGTCCCAGTTTTTCCCCCTTTTCTCTCTTCCACCTAGCACTCCCCACTCCTTCAGGCAATCCCCAAGGCTTCAATTTTTACATATGGATATCCTATGTATTCTAGAATATTCTGGGGGACAAAACACTTTTTTGTCCATTTAATTATGTTGTTGCCTTGTCAGACAGTTGACCTAGGGGATTACCTTCTGGGCTCTATTCTTCTCCATTAATCTATTTGACTATCCTGATGTTACTCAGTTGTCCTGACTGCTGTAATTTAGGGTTTCCCAGTCTAGAAATCAGTGAAATTTTGGTGAGACTGTTGTGGGGCTGTATTGTGGAGTATATGATGTCTAGTAATACCCCTGGCCTCTACCTACTAGATGCTAGTAGCACCCACCCAATGATGACAACCAAAAATGTATCTAGTCATGGCTAAATGTCCCCTGGAGGGCAAATTGCCCCTCATTGAGAACCACTTGAAGGGCTCTATAGTAAGCCTTGAAGTTAGTGTAAATTCTGTAGCTTTTGTTATTTTCCCGAGATTGTTTTGTCTATTCTAGGTCCTTTATGTTTCCATTATCAATTTTAGAATGAACTTGTCAGTTTTCTGTAAAAAGAATGAGTATGCTGGGACTATGATTGGGATTGTGTTGAATTTATAGATTACTTTTGAGGAGAAGTGACATTTGGCAGTCTTGAAGCTTCTAGTCATGAGCATGGCACATCTCTTTAAGTCATCTTTAATTTTTCTCAGTGTTTTACAGTTTTTAGTGGAGGTCTTGTATATCTTTTGTTAAATTTATTACTAAGTGCTTTACGTTGTATGATGCACTTGTAAATGGAATTGTTTCTTAATTTCCTTTTCTAGTTTGTTGCAAGTGCATAAACATAATAAAATTTTACGTGTTGACTTTGTATCTAGATAGATGCAAAGATTCATAATTTTTTGTTAAATTTTCTGCATTTTCTCCATTCATAACCGTATTGGCTGTCAATAGGGACAGTTTTACCTCTTTTTCAATTTTTTTTAACTTTTCTTTCTCATTGTCATTGCACTAACCACTAAAATGTTAAATAGAACTGTTGAAAGTGGACAACCAGCCTTCTTTGAAGTGGTGGAGGGGAAATTTTCAGTACTTCAGCGCTCAGGATTGTAGTATTTTCATAGGTGTCCTTTATAACAATGAGGAAATCCTTTTCTTAGTTTGCTGAAAGTTTTCTATCATGAATGAGAATTTATTAAAATCTTATTCTTTATCTATTGAGATAATCATAGGTTTTTTTTTATTCTCTGAATATGGTAATTTATGTTGGAATAAAAATTTCCTTATTGTGAAATATATGTAAAAATGACCATTTTAACCATTATGTGTAAAATTCATTGGCATTAAGTATTTCACATTGTTTAAGTTTTTTTCAATCCAAACTGAATTCTGAAGCTCTGTACTCTTTAAACAATTACTTCCTCTTTCCTCCTCCAGGGCCCAGATAACCAACCACTCTCCTATTCTTTTTCTATGAATTTCACTACTTTAGGTATCTCGTGTAGGTGGGATCATACAGTATTTGTCAATTTGTGCCTAGCTTGTTTCACTAAGCTTGTGTTTGAGGTTCATCCATGTTGTAGCATATGTCCTTTTCAAGACTGAATAATACTCCATTGCATGATTTTTGTTAATCCATTTGTTCATCTGTTGATGGACATTGGGTTGTTTCCACTATTTGGCAATCAGGAATAACACTGCTGGGAGTATGGTTGTACACATATCTCTTTGAGTCCCTGCTTTCAGTCCTTTTGGGTATATACGCAGAAGTGGAATTCCTGGATCATATAATTTTTATTTTTAATTTTTTAAAGAATTGCCATACTTTTGGCTGGCTACAAATTCTGTTTATCTGAAAATATCATTTTTTAAACCTTGTTTTTGAAGGACAGTTTTGCTGAAGCATTGTGGCTTGACATTTTTTTCCCAAGTTCTTTAAAGATGTGGTTACACCCTGGCTGGTGTGGCTTAGTGAATTGAGCGCTGGCCTGTGAGCCAAAGGGTCACTGGTTCGATTCCCAGTCAGGGCACATGTCTGGGTTGCAGGCGAGGTCCCCAGTAGGGGTGTGTGAGAGGCAACCACACATTGCTGTTTCTCTTCCTCTCTCCCTCTCTTCCGCTCTGTCTAAAAATAAATAACTTTAAAAATATCTTTAAAAAATTGGTTACAATTTCTTCAGCTCTCTATAATTTCTGATGAGAAATTAGGTTTATTCATATTTTTG